CGCCGGCAATAGATGGCAAGATATAAGCTCTGATATATATTGCTCTTTACTCGCTCAAAAGTGTTCCCAGTGAGAGAAATTCTTGCGTACGGGAACGACTTCCTGTAATTTCATACTATTTCTTACTATGTCCTTGTGTACTGGAACAAACTATTTTTCTTGACCGTTTTCTTGAGAGCTGCATACAGGACATTAAACTCGTAAAGTCTTAACAAGTTTACGAGGTTCGTAAATAGAGCGCCGTACAAATTTTGACAGTTATTTGACTAGGCTCGTAAATTTAGGAGCTTTACGAGGTTTACGAGGCTTATACGAGTTTAAGGAAAGACCCCTTTTAAAAATTTTGCGTCACATACAAAAGAAAAAATAATTGTAATAATTAATTCATTCTCCTGATATGAACTATTTAAATACTAAAGCACTGAACCTTTTGGGGCTGTTTTGTGCGTAAGCATAAAAATATCTGATAACATAGTTGAATGTAGTATTTTCTGCGTTCATTGTGTAAACAGACGAAGAAGGCCCTGGGGCTGGATTCTGTAACTGTGAGAAAATTCAGGGTACACCGAGTGCAAAACCCACAGCCAAATACTCATACACACAATTTTGATAGTTAAAAGTCATTCTCAAGCTCGGAACACTTTGACGACAGCAAGCGACAAGCAGCATCTGTCAAATTTTAAATACACACGTTCTTACGGACACAATTATTTTGACGACAGCACGACATCTTGGCTGCAGGACTACAATTGTCGACGTCGCCAAATTAAATCTATTTCTAATTTTGCCGGCGACAATGAGTAGATGTAGTGCTGCAAAATTAAATTGTCGCAAAATTAATCACATATTCTTGATTGTTCATGTTTTTCTTATTTACTTAAATAAAAATACACAATTTGTGAAATAAATATACCAAAATGTCAAACTTTAAAATCAGCTGTTTGCTATGTCGCTGAGGTCTTCAAAATGTTTAAGAAGGTGGCTTCAAGGCGACATTTTACACTTCCGGAATCGCAAAATGACGAGTGCACACGAAAACTAGAATCTAGTCCCCTGCAATTGCTTTTGAAAATTCTTGAGTTAGACCGACTTTTCAAAAAGACTTACACTTTCCGCGTCTAACAGCTACTTTATTAATTAAAATTGACACTCAAATTAACCGCGAAAATATGTAAACAAATCTAATTTTGTGCATCCGTCCATAAACCATTTTAATTCTACAAAGTTATGTATAATTCCGAATGTTTCCAAGTACCAGAATTTGCAAGCACGTCCAAGATGAACTCCACCGACAGTACGTGCGAAGCAATGGAAGTGGATGAGGAGGAAGAGGAAGATAAAGAATTTGATAAGCTGCTGTGGTCCATTGATGATGACACCCTCTTTCAGCCATTTGGTTTAACCAATCACGGCACAGATGCAGGCAAAACAGTGTTTGTGACATGGAATGAAGATTATCTGCTTAATTTTGTTTTCAAGCGTGCACGTCGCACTAAGAAAATCAGCTTGACAAAAGTGCGAATACCAATGCCAGCTGGAGAAGTCATCAACGATATTTTCATATTGGAAATGAATGCTTTACTACTTATGCGAAGCGGGCGCGTATATTATTTTAGTTCGGTTAAGTCCATGCATGAGGTTGACTGGCTAAATGATACTGGAGCGGGTGTGCGTTGCATGGCTGCAGCACCCACGGCAGGATTTAGTTGTATACGTTACATCGCGACGCAGAGTGCGCTTACACTGGAGTTGTATCGAGATGTGCCAGATATAGGACGTAATACGCCAACATTATTGCAGCGCTGTGATATTACATTTGATGATAGAAACTTTTTCAATTGCACCTGGGAGGATGAGCGATATACAATAGTTTCACAACCAGTCTCTGAAGCTAATTTGGATTTCTTGCAACATTTATTGATGGAGGAAGTGGAGTTGCGGGTTGGACAATGGTTGCACATATTTACAGTATCTTGTATTGTATATGCATTGGTTGTAGGTAGTTGGTATGAAGTTTAATAACAAGCAATTAAATAGTTTTTTACTTTTTAAATATTTTCACTTGCAGCTAGTCCAGAAGATAACAGTCCTAGCGGCGAGGACGCTGCTAACTGTGAATACAGTATTCATCAGCTATGCGCATATGCCACTAAGGTAGACTCTATACAATTGGACTGTGAAGAGATGCGCTGTCTGATATTTCTGCAATGTGGGAGCATTGACATCTGGTATTACTCGCACCTCACTTGTGGCTTGCGTCGCATGTCGCATCATACTGGCGCACAGTATATTGATCATGTGTATGTGCCAAATACGCGTTGTTTTTACTTCACCGACGAAGAGCAAGTGGCACAATTGCATTTCTCCTACGATGCCGAGGAGGACTGTTGTCAAGTACAAGAGACATATAAAGCCGTGCCTGGCATGTTGGCTTGCACATGGGTACATACGCAACAACAACTGATTTGCTTAAGCTGCAATAATATATTTTATAAAATGAAATTCGATCCTGCGCCTAAAGCTAAGCAGCCCTTACCGCTCTCCACAAGCACAGCTGCGTTGGTAAGCACGGAATATGAGAACTTGCAAATGCTTTATGAGCTGACGCCCGCCGGTTTATCACGGCTGCTTGCACAAGCCCAGAAAGTAAATGAATTGGTAAATTTGCCTGCGCAAATGCATGCTGCTATCGAGGAAGAGTGTGTCAAACAACAGCTGCTCGGTGTTGCTTCAAATAGGGACCTGTATCGATATCTATCGAAAGCGCGTCTTGTATACAGTATACAATTGCCAACAGCACCTCAGGCTGATGTAATTATGTTGTATGCAAATAACAACTACCAGCTACACCACGACAGCTATGCGGCGTTAATATACTTACAAATTGACAAAAATGATGTGCTGCATAACGGCGAAAGTCTTTGGCATTTACACATAGATGTTGATTACAGCGATAGCCATATGCTGCACATACCCAGCGCTCTTCTAGAACAACAATTATGCATTGTTTTACCCCTAAAGCGTGAGGTGGGAAAATTACTTGCTCAAATCAAACTAAAGCTTTATACTATGGTGTGCTTGGAACAAGATTTTGTAGCTATTACGCTGCCCATTGATTTGGAAATAAATTCCAGTACTTATGCGGAGCTTATCACACGCTTTAAATGCTTTGTAACCATTTGCAATGACTATGATATTTCAAAACTTATTAGAAATTTCCTAAAGCATAGCAGATGCGACATAACAAATACGAAATCCAATGAGTCGCTTCGTTTCGAAGCAGGGGAGAATGAACCAAAATTCGAGGTTGAAGTGCTGTCACATACTTTGCGGCTACCGCCGTCATGTTCCTTTAGTGCCATTGCTGATTGCTTCAAGGTGCCAGTTACGGATGAGCATATGTTTGAGTTGTACTTTATGTCAACAGCGGTCAAAGTTGTATACATAGTAGAAGAAAAGTATATTAAAATAGAAAGCGTGGATGCAGTAGCTTTGTATTATGTAAAAACGCAATTGCTAATATGCATACCAACGCTTCTGCTGCCTTATGATCAAAAAGAGGCAGACAAACGACAGCAGCTGCTGATGGTATGTAAATACTTACTTATGTATGTTTAAAAATGCCAAACAAATTGTAAATTCTCTACTTTCAGCAACTTCAATGCGACTTAGCACGTTGTGGTTCAGCTCTTTTGAATGTGCGCTCATTGGATGCGGATATTGCGGAGGATGAAAGCGACACAATTCCTCATGCCATGCAGCACCAACAACTGGAACAAATTTATAAAACACTGCGACGAGATTTTCATAAATTGTATAGCTGATGAAGATAGTGTCATACGCTTATTGCCCATTAATTTTAGTCTAATTGTAGTACGAATATTATGAAAAACAAATGTCTCAGTTGCTGGCAAAATCATAAATACTGATTGTACCATAAATTATACATATCTATAAATTTGTATGCATTCTTTTAAGCATTAAATTATGTAAAATAGAAAGTACAGTTGTTTCATGTATGACAAACATACGCTGTTTTTGTTTACTTCTACCTAGAAGGGCATCCTAAATAATGCGCTTAAGGAAACTTCCAAGTTGACAGTTGTCTTGCATATATCGTCATCAGAAAAACCAAAGCTGAAGTCCTACATAGCTACATAGGTGTTGTGAGAAAAAAAAGAGACCTAAAAAAAATTTAAAATTCCTCTTTGAAAAATGAAACATACCCTTTTTTGTTTTTTTTTGTGTTTTAATTATGTTTTTGATTTGCTACAACAACACTTTTTGCACTACTAATTTCAAGCTCTTTGCCTTTTATTTTCAATGTAGTATTTTTAAATTTCAACTACTCATCTACTTATTATAGTACACACATATAAATTGTTACATTCGATTTTTATGTTTTTACGCTCTTAAGATACCACATTTTTTGTGATGTAAGCATGCGCTGTTTTAAAAGTATGTAATTGTTTTAGTTAGGTATGCGAAACTCAGCTATGGCCTTGCTACACATTTTTAATTAATTGGTGTTGGTATTTTTTTTTTAAGGTTTTATGAGTTGTGCTTTTATGTACATATGAAAATACATACATATTCACACATGTTATTTAAGCATTTCTTTTTAATACTGCTGCAATTGAGCAAATTATGTTTTTTGTTCTTTCAAATTTATTTATTTCGATATGCATTAGCTTGAAATCTTCATTAGAAATCTTATATCAAAAAATTCTTATAGTCTCTTCCAAAAAGTATCTTTAAATGGGACGGGTTTGCTTTGCTTCTGAAGTAATGAGTTAATTTGATAATACATTAGTATAAGGACTATTAAAGAACATAGCTTTCGTATTTTTTATGATATTGAAATTCTATTTTCGGCAGCTTTTTAACCTTTCAAATGAGTAACATGTTACATTTCAATTTCTGACAGCTTTAAAACAAGTGAAATGTGCCATTAAAGCACTAATTAGTGGAAAGAATTAAAAAATAACTTTAATCGGAGGTGTTAGGAAGACATTAGAAGAGTTTTGCATTTCCTTTTAAAGTAATTTTCCTTCAAAAGCTTTTTTATCTAAGTTAATATTACGTAGACAATTCGAATTTTTTCATGCTTCATAACTTTTCCATGTTTTTTTTTTGTTACTATAACTATTTTTTTCATTTGATAAGCTTAAGCGCTTTATTCTGCAGGTAAATATAACAATAAAGATATCACCTTTAGTTGGCAATAAAAATACATAGTTAAATTTGATTTTAACTTGGTGTAACTTTTCGTAAAAAAGCATTACATAATGATAGAAGGTACATTTGTGATTAGTAAAAAGGCATTTAGTTACTTGATTTAAGAGTTGGTTTATAATATGAAAGACAGATTTCGCTTTTATGCTCTAGTGCTGTGTAAAGTATATTTTTCTTTAGAAAGTCATTCAAAGATGAAAACCTAGGCAAATTTAAAACTAAAACGCAAAAAAGTACACAACGAAAATAAAATAGTAACAATAATATAATAAACATAAATAAATACACCTAATAAGAAAATTAAGTCAAAAAACGTCGCTGTTATACCGAGTTATTATGTATATTACTTTCCAGCTTACTTTAACTTTTACTTTTATGAAGTAAAAAGGAAAGCGAAAAATGGGTTTATACCCATGTCGAAACTTTATACAAATAAAAACGGTTTAAAATCGAATATTCTTATTTTAACTGTTAGCATATCCAGTGATGCAATGTTTAGGAGTCATTCACAACGACTTTTGATAATGATCAACATGAAACTGGAGGGGTATGGGTTCGAAATCCTTATGACGTCAAGCCAATCAATATCACACAGATCATTGACGGTCTAAATCAACGTCGACCCTCAGATAGGAAGCATTCTAGTTGCGATTAACCTTTTGAGAAGATAGCCTAGGCTCGTCGCTTCAAGATCGGATGAAACGGTGGATGACCGTTGTTTAACCTCTTTATGACAAAACTCCCTCCACCGCCGGAGTCTTTCCCAGCTTGGCAGGTTCCGACCCCATGTATATCGCTGTATGTGAACAAAATCTATAACTCACGTAACAGACAGCCTTCGACCCAACTCAAAAATAATTGCTCCCTTTCCATCAAATGATGACATTTTATTAAAAAATTTCTATGGCAATAATAACTTAAAAACGCAAATAAATGACAAAACAAAACGGAAATTAATTTGTAATTATATTAAAATAAAAACGCTCCATATATTTTCCACTTTAAAACCATTAAATATTGAAAATAAAGAAATAAAAGCACCATTAACGAGATAAAAAAAAAAATTAAATAAAAACATTAGACATATAAACTTAGATTGCATAACACAGCTAAGATACATAGGATACAAATATATGTTTAAAAGTATTAACTAAAAAAGATAATAAGATTTTCGCAAAACAAGCCACAATTTATAAGTTTTTAAGTCACTTTAATGAGTAAATAGAGAAAAAATTAATGCTTTTCCAATTCTTCACGAAAAAATTGAAAAACAAAATTTTAGTACACATTGCAAAAGTTATTAAACTAGATACGTGTAATTGGCTAAAAAAAAAAAAATATGTTTGCATATTTTAATTGAAAAAAAACTGACTGTCTTAAGATTTATCAAGTTTCGTATTTACATTCGCAATTACATTCACATCGGCTTCAGCTTTCACAGCTGGACTTTCATGTGGCTCCTTCTTTTTCATAAACCAAAGTGGTGACATACCCAGAATGCAACCTATTGTTATGCCCACAATGCGTCCCTGGAAAGAAAAAACATAAATAATATAGAGAGTGTAAACAAATTGTGAACATATCGCACAACCACTTCAATGGTGGTTGCTAATCATATGGGCAAGCAAGATTTTACTTTATCTGCGGTACACGTTGGCGATAAAAATCGACAGTTTTGCTCAAATTTCCCCTGTTTGACCGTGTAACCGCTCGTTTTCGTCAATCAAACTTGATCGACAATGTGTACCGACCTTTGATTTTTTCAACAAATTACAACAACAATTTTCTGCAGCCTTTGCTGAACGGTAAATAAAAAGTCTGTGAACATTTTTAGCGTATAATTTCTGAAATGACAAAATTGCAGTTGTCTCATCTTTTTAGTGAGTGTGCGATACATGTTTTACTTTTAGTCATTATTCATCGAGATTTATTTATTTTTTTTTGACTTACCAAATTTGCCGAGTGTCGACTGGATTTCATTTCCATTTGAATTGGCGTTAAATCGGGTAAACGGAAGCCCATCATTTCACAACCACGTTCCACATAATATGCTGAACCAATGCCCAAAATATCGCTGACGGTGTTGCCGAGACCAGCGGCAGCCATTGTAGATATGCACATGAAGGCGCCAAAAAGGCTTTCGATTGAGTCGCCCTGAAAATAAGAGAAGATTAATGAAAATACCACACAATTTGAATTTTTTCAGTAGTAAGACGGTAAAATTAGACTAAATAAGGGGGCTCCAAAAAATCAAAACCCCAAAACTTGAAATTATGGTGCTTATCATAACTATATGACACCCACATCTGGACAAGTTTTGGCTATTTATTTTTTATTATTTAACTTGGATTATTTGTTTTATAAAAGGTAGTTCATTCTATAATAAAACTCATCTAAGTGTCCAACTTTGTATAAAAATTATAAAATCGACAAAGTTTTATTGAAATTTAACACTTTTTATTTACATAGAATTTGTATGCAGTTTTAAAGCCAATTCAACTCTATTACAATTGATTTTGACTTTTTTTATTGACTAGAATCGAACGGGTTCTAAAACTGTTTACGTAAAAAATTTCTAAAAACTCTGAATAGAAAGTGTGAGATTTTTATGAAACTTTGTCATTTTTCTTTAATGTTTGTGCAAAGTTTAAAACTTAGTGTGCATGGTTTTTGGTATAGACTAAACTATATGCATTTTTATAAAAAAAAAAAAAAGAATTAAAATTAAATAATAAACAATAAATAGTTTAAACTTGTCAATAATTAAGTGGATGTCCTATAATTATGTTAAGCACTATATTTTTCGCAGAAATTTCGAAAATTCGGTTTAAGATTTAAATTAAAATTTTTACCGCAACTATCATCACAAAGTTGTCCAGAAAGCCAAAAGCGATGAATGGCACAGCATTCACTACGAAGACTGTAAAAATCCATAAAAGTTTCATGAACATTGTGAATTTTTATAAAATTTCAAAGCAACAAGTACTCACTTCGACGCAAATCTGCCATGGTGGGCGGTGGCGCTTTAGCCGCTATAGGGGAAAAGCACATAAAAGAGAATAAAAGTATTCAGTTAAATAGATATTTATTAATTTTTAAATTAAACTGAGTTAGTAGTTTTGTTTTTTTTTTTTTCATAATTAAGTAAAATAAACCTTGATATTAAATATATAATTTTTTTTTTTTTAATAAAAGAACAAATGTTAGTGTTAAGTTTTTTCCGAATTTGTTTCGATTAGTTTTCTGTTTTTTTTCTGTTCAGTTTACCCGCTCTTTGTTTGAGCCATTCCTCGGGGAAGGCACAAAATCGACCTGTGGGATCAACATCGCCAAGGCGTGGCACTTGTGAGGGACGGCCAAAGCGTGTGCGCCATTGTGTTGCTGCCAGTTTGCCTATGTTTGTGCATGAATGCCATAGCGTATGCGTGTTTGTGTAGGTGATGTATTTATTTTGGCGTTTAATAAAAATATTCCATTCATGTGCGCGTTATTGTATTGTCATCGGGATTGTCATCAGCAGCATACGCGTCCGTTTTGTTTTTCATTTTGTGGAGGTTCATGTTGGCGGTGACATTTGAAATAATAACCATTGTGATTGAATTTGTGCGGACAGATAAATGTTCATGCAAAAAAAAAGAAAGAGAGGAGACGAAAATAAAATATAAATATAGGTAAATTTAAAATTAAATATTGAGCTATAGGCATGCACAATAAGCTAGACACGTTAAAAACCGTGAAATGGACGGAGTGTTTAGCATTAGAAATGTATTTTGTAAAATAAATAATCAAATATTCGAATAAGTGTTCGATATATGTATGTAGTTAATGATTGATATGTAATCGACTTATCAATTATCGATATTTTTGTAGGCGTATTTATCGAACACTATAGACACATATACTTTAGAAAATCATGATCGATGCATATAAAGATCGATATTGCTGTCGATATATTTAATGGTGTTATAGATTTTTTTTATGATAACTTTATATGTATATACGTATATTTTTGGGAGTCGCCATTGATATATAATTTGTCGGTATGATGTACATACATATGTGCACATGTATGTCGGCACCAAATAGGGTTATCGATATCGAGTCAATACTATTGCCACGCGCTTCAATTACACTGGATCACAAATTTGTGTTTTTTTTGTTCACGGATTGCCCTTATCCAATTCTAAACAGCGTTACTCATATGTACATTAGAGTGGTCCAAAAACAGTAAAGTCGGAATTTTTGAGCACTAGGATTGTTCTATGCCGAAAAAAATATACCCCTGTTTTCATTAAAAAAAAAAAAACAAATTTGCGATCGAAAAATATTGATCTTGAAGAATTCTACACCATTTATATGAAACGTTGTTTTTTCCCCATATAAAATACATGAAAAACTTTGCACGCTTTGTGCACTCCGTAAATTTTTTTATTTCAAAATAAAAAACGGGTATATTTTGCTTCGGAATCGAACCATTCTAGGCGGCATTAAAATTCCGAAAGTTCGAATTTTTGATTATTATTTATTCAGAAACCTAACAGAGGCCTATCGAAAATAGAGATGCCAGATCAAAGTAATAAAAATCGATTTTTGAATTGAAATAAAAACGACCGATGCAGGAAGAAATCGTCAAAAACCAAATTGATCTCACAAGATTGATTCATATATTTTGTAAAATAATGTATTATACTTAATCTTTACAAAGAAACAAACCACGGCTACCTGACCAAACTTTTATTGTAAGTATTTTTTATAAACAAACATGCATTGTTCATAACGGTTACAATATCTGGATGTATTCAAAAGCTATCAAGTAGCTAGCAATCCATAAATACTTTTGAAAAAAAGTGAGATAATAATAATTCGTAAACAGAATTTATGAAAATGGTTAAGTTTTTTTGAATTTTTAATTTTTTTTTCGACCACAAATGAGAAAATAACTTATGTTTTACTTCAAAATTGACCACTATTGTAACAAGTGTATTATACAAAGGAGCTTGAGTACATATATTTTTTGCACTGCCGAAGTTTTTTTCTTGTTTAAAATTTGTATGAAATTTTCCATAAAGTTTGGAATTTCAATTTTTTAAGTTTAGTTTGTGGTATTAGCCATAATTTTATATAGAGTTTTTCACCTCTTTGCTCTTTCAAGTTGGAGAGGTGGGAGGCGTGAGACCCCATTTTTTTTTTGTACCAGCCTCAAGTTCAAATATCTGTAAAATTTTAAACTCGAATATCGATTCTGCATTTTTTTTTTACGTTTCACGGATAGAATCGGAACTAAAAAATCGACAAAAATCGAATCGGATCGATCTTCGATTTAATCGATTTTAAAACGGCATCTTTAATCGAAAAGTTACTTATTAAGTGACGATTTATGGCGAATTTTGTTTGATTTCATTTGCCACCTTTTGTATTAAGATTATTATGCAATTCTACATATATGGGAACTAGATAGTGACATTCAGTTTGCATTTTTGCTGTAAACCAGTGTTGTGTCAGTTATCTATGGCCTTTACTTTATACGATACTGTAAGTTTACAGCTGTTAACATGCATTAAAATGCCATCTACAGAGTAAAATTTTATCATACAAAAGTAAAGACGAATCATTCAACAAAATAATGCAAATATGCATTTATTTCGAAATTACATCGTAATTTTTGAAATTAAAGTATCATCCAACAAAGCAAAATAAAGCTTCTAAAACGTTATGCAAATCCTTTTGGTCCCGAAAGAGTTGATTTTAATATAGTTAAAAATGTTTGCTATCTGGGTCAGTGTTGCCAGAACTTTTTGGACGAACCGGCTAAATTGGCAAATAAAACCGGCTAAAAACGGCTAAAATGTTTCAACTAAATTTCACATGTTTTATTTAAATAAATCACGAGTACTATTTCTGGGAGAGAAGTTAAAAAATTCGAGCCGGAAAAAATTTTGCCAGCGAGAATTTGCAATTAGGAAAAACATATGATTGTGGCACATGGTTGGATTTTTTGTGAATAAACAACTTCGTTAAATTTAAAAATTTACAAACTAGAGCGATTTTACAATGAAAAATGTAAGTTAATACTTGTTTACTTAATTAATTTAGTTAATTCCAAAGATTTGAAAGGTACTCGGCAAAAAAAAAACTGTTTTCATAATCGGAATGCAATCTCAACCAGAGTCGATATAGTAAACCCGACAAAGAAATTGAAACATATGTTGAAGAAAGTCGGACTGACAAGATATATACACGTAGATCCTGTCTTTTACCCCTCTGAAAGAATTTTAAAAATTCAATACAAATTTCTTTTGTTTGAAATGCAACCATGGACACTAGCTGGCAGAAAATCTTGCCAATTTGCGTTCGTACAGAAAATTGCAAGTTTCTCTTCATGAGAGAAAATTTGGGAGCATTTTTTCTTACTATCTGATATTTTGAGTGATAATTCTCGCTGGATTTTCGACGAACAAACCTATTGTCTTCCCTACGAGGCCTTTGGGAGTGGGCAAAAATGATGTTTTTTAATTTAGGCAGAGTTGAATATGCGCTCTCTGGGAAGACAATATCTACATGTAATATTTATTCTGTTTGTTGGCACTAAATCCAAACACAAACGCATCTTAAGTGTCTTAACAGTGAAACAATTTCTTATTTTCTAAGTTTGCGAATAAAACTTCACACTTGAAATTAAGACATTTATAGCAAACATTTTATGAAGAAAAACCCTTCTTCATTTAAAATAAAAATAAGCGAAATCGGCACAATTTCATACAACCCTGCCTAACATGAAAATTTTCTCCACGATAAGGCTAGTAGCCATTTCTAACAGATTTTGGGTCGCTTAGTCAAAAATAGAAACATATATACATATTTGAAATTTAAGAAAACAAGGCAAATAGCAAAATCGGCTAAAACCGGCTAATTTTTTTCTGCAAAACGGTTAACAAATCGGCTGCCGGCTAAATCGAAATTTCTCCGGCTGTTTGCTATCGCAATCGGCTAAATCTCAAATCAAATGGCAACACTGATCTGGGTTATATTCACTCCATATTTATATAACGAACATATTTGCGCTTATGTGCTTACATACATACATACATATGTTCCCCTAAGTACGAGTATAACAGTGAAGTAATGAGCCAGCAAGAGTTTTGCATTTCATTACACATAAGTGTTTATATGAATTTTTGATGACACAACCAGGCAAGTGAAATGTAAGGGGTAAAAACGGTTAGCAGTTGCAGCACAAAATAGCAATCACTGCACATACTTATCAGCAGCAATAGTCACTTTTGCTGAAACAATGCCAAAATGAGTGCATATGTGTGTAGTATGTATAACTCTATAAAGCAGATAAAAGCCAGTTCCAAGTTCTTTTTATGGTAAATAACACACTACTGTGCATACAAAGCCGCTTATTATGTTAAATGTTGCGTATACGCCATGATGTCTGCATCCATGGCTGCTTATATGGAGGTTTTTACTATTGTTGCTAAGTATCGAGTACTTTTGAGGATCGAGTTCTTTGGTATCGATACTTTTAAGGATCGGGTATTTTTCAGAGTACTGAGTACTTTTTTCTAAATATACACATGTTGGTAACATTTCAAAACTTAGTGTAAAAATCTCACAAACTGGCAGTATTTTATTCAAATTAATATATGAATCCCAAATTACGTCAAATGGATGGCTAACTGTACTGGGTACAAGTATTGTAACTGAAAATTATTGAAATTGCAAATTGAGGACAATCATTTCTGAATACCGTTAAATTTAAATAAAACTCAGTACTTTTTAAGTCTATTCGACACTTAATACTGAGTACTTTGAATCGATCCTGAGTACACGTACCAAAGCGATTATTGGAATATAGTATTTTTGAGTACTGAGTACTTTCGAGTTCTTTTAAGTTCTGAGTACTTTGGAGTTCCTTTTTTGAGTACTGAGTACATTCGAGTTCTTTGTGAGTACTGAGTTCTTTGGAGTACTCAGTATCGATACTTTTAAAAATCGGGTGCTGTCGATCCTTTTGAGAATCGAGTTCTGGGTACTTTTGGTATTGATACTGCCCAACACTAGATTTTGCGCTCCATTTTTCATTTCGTTTTAACTCGAAGGTGCAATGCAACCAAACAGTCTCAAATGTAAGCCTTTAAAACTCTTTAATTACTATTTAATATGGCTTTGACTTGAGGTGATATAAAATGAAATTTCTTATTAATTTGAACTAGTGAATCCGCACGGCGGTAAAATGCCCAAGATAAAATTTTAAAAACCAACAAACGATTCGAGTGTCATATTTCTTCTAAATTCGTGCAGCCGTTTCGCATAGCCGGTTTTTAATATTATCAAATTTTAAATTACCCTGTACCGATAAAAAGTTTATAATTTCAAAAAAGGCAAGG